TCGTTCCTAGCCACATGGAGTTAATGACGGTTGTAACAACGTTCCGAAGTGGATAGAGTTCGAATCCAGACGTTAGGAAAGTAAGCTGCTGTCAACGAGTTTATTCAAGATGTAGTAGGACTGTTCTTGACATGGTATGAATTTCATTTCGATGAAAGCAACACGAGACTTAAAGTAGATGAAATGCGGTATTAAAATTCTTTTTTTACGAAATCTCAACTTCTGCGCCATTAATCAATAGTTTTTGCGAGGAACGCCTGGGATTCCCGTCTTAGAACAGTTGCCAGCATGAAAAATACTCTTTGTAAAACAAAAGTTTTCAAATTTATGCCTTCCTGTATCTCTCTTTAAGTCACATAATCAACACGGTGTTATCCACACAAGTATCTCTTGTGATCTATTTACGCTTAGTATCATTATTATTATATTATCTATGTTTACATGTAAGAATAATAGTAAACACAATAATAATAACTCATTATGTTTCAATTTTTCACTCCAAAAAAATGTCTATAGTGTATCTAAATCTAATATGGGGATATATAATTTTATATGTGGCCCGCGGAGTTATGATGCATTTCCAAAGTGGCCCGAAAGATCATTTGGGTTGGCCTTAGGACCTAAGGCGTCTTTCTACTGTTTTAGCCTACGCATGAATCCTAGTTAAGTACAAATGAATTACTTTCTGTAGTTTCGGAAAATCTGGAACCATTCATCAATGTATGATCCTATCGCAAGTGGCGCTGGTGTCGATCCCACCGAATAAGTGTGTTCGTCCGCCCGCCATGTTGGTAATATTAAAGTGGAGGCGAGGAGTCGAGCTGCGCTGAATATATAAGACTGTTGCGAGTAGTTGGAAAACATTTAATTACGTATTAGAGACAGTCTGAGACCACGGATAAATTGTCATCGGTTAATCCATGTTTATGAAACCCGCATTAACATTCTTGGGCGGAGTATAGATCGTGGGTGGTCGAAACACTCAGCCATTCGGTCTTCTAACTGAAGCCTACAACAATAACGAAGTGGCTACAGTCCAGATTTCTGGTAGCTTTAGGTACAAATAAAAACGATTAAGAATGCATTTGCGTGAGGACCTGATGAATCATGGTGAGCCCGGTCCTCGCGAACACATTGGTTTCCTGGAACACTCTGCTGAATTCATTTCATTTTAAACCGGTGTTGTCGAAACCGACAGAATACCTTGACTGACTTGGACTCGGTGCAAACTTTTCCGGATCCATTTACCATTTCTTTTTTAACATGCCAGCGTCTCTTTTTTTGGTTGGTACTTCAGGCAACTGTTGGGATTAATCTTACTTCTTCTGCGTGTTGCATAGTTTTCAGTCTTTTTATTTCGTCTTTTGATAAGATGGTAAATTTTTGCGTCATATTGTGATATAATAAGTATATATTAAATCTTGTCCGTCTAATCACAATAAATTCTTATTAAATATTAAAATATTACAATAATTAACATTTAAAATATTTAAAATATTAAATGATGTTCTTTATCGAAATATTCGATTTACATTAGACCATCATTTTTCA